AGTCTTTTTCTGAGCTGAGGCTGAGTGTGGAGAATTTTGTTTTCTTTGCCCAAGAGCCTTGACCTGAGAATCTTCACGTGCTATGGCATGCTGACGATATTTGACAATGATGCCGAGGTTTGGTTTGTGGGATCCAAGCCATCCGCAGGCATCGGAGGCTAGTCTTGCGATCTCTGAGGTCTTGGCAGGTGCAAGCCTAGTCACCATGTAGGTCTGTTTCCTTATGTTTCCTTCATGAGACAGGTTGAGGTGTGTCTTCAGCAAAAGCCCGGACTTGTCAATTCCGCAGGCCCCATCTTTTCTGAATTTCGACCCTGAGGCAAGGCCGTGCCATGCCATGCATGCCATGCCTGCCTTCCAAGAGGAGCCTTTGAAAAAGTAAAGAATCGCGGGGTGATGGTGACAATTTCATACATGCCCTGCTGGTTTATTCTGTCCCGAGTAATGAACAACTGGTAGTGCAGGCTCCATTCATGCTTCAATGGTTCTTCACCAAAAAGGATGATCGTTTCGCTGCTGAATCTTGGCAGTGATATGTTTCCGCAGTTTGCAGACCAACTGAGAATCGTAGAGAGGCCATGTATGTTGAACATGTGCTCCTGGAGACTCGGCACAACACGTTGTATGCTTGTGCAGCTGGGGTTGCTGAAAACTAACGGCACTATCAGAAGCTGTTCTGGTGCTGTACAATGTAGAAGAAGCGAAAACCAGACCAGCGCACTAGTCTCGGATGGGTGCGACACTGGGAGTCAGGCAGCATAGTCCCCAAGGACCCTAGCTTCAGGTAGAGCTACTTGCTCCGGAAGCGTAGGGCTGGAAGATCACCGAATCCCCTGGGCTCTTGGGATCCTGAAAATTGTGCTGCTCAGGCAAGCCCACACTACTTCTGGGATCCTGAAAATCCGAAACCTAGCAACATCTCCACTGATGCAAGCAGCCTCGCAGAATTCTCTCCGTACTTATGACCAGATGGGCTGACATACTGGGGAGAAGGTCGGCCAACGTGACAGCCATATTTTGTTTGAGCAATTATCCTGAAAGAGGAGGAGCGGGCCTTAAACGCCTTGAGACACCAATAAAATGTCAGGAATGTGAAATGTGGTGTTGCTGTATGAAGTACACCGGGAAGTCAGGGAGTGCGAACAAGAGCAAGGAGGATGGAACTAGAAATCTGCTTTGCTTTACGCGATTGGTGGGGCAACGTCGCGGGCCAAGGCGCCCTGTCAAACCTCAGCCCAACAACTGTTTCCCCAAATCTCCCACACACCAGCTCTTTGGATCTCTTCATCACCTAACTTGAACCTTTGTCCTTGCCAGGTGCGCTTTGTAACGCTGCAGTTCACGGAGCTCGGGGGCGACCACCTGGCCCGCCGCCAGCACAGATACGAGTCAATCGAGGGTTAATTGGGTTTTTGGATTCTCGCGCAGGGTCTTCACCTCTGATCGATTTGTGCAATGAGTAGGATCGGCTCCTCCTGTTCCTCGACGGCGATCTGGCGACAGCTTGGAACTTGGTGCCAGTTGGGGCGGGGAAGGGACAAGAGGCAAGGGAAGGTGTGGGAATCCAGGTGCGTGCGGCAGAGCCAAAATCCATGGATTCAGAGGCACAAAGCTCAGAAGGCTTAATCTCGAAATCTCCTTGCCGTCAGGACTTCTGGGATGACATGTACGAGGTTCTGACGGCATCTTTGAAGCTTTTGAAGGCCCGCCTGGGAGGTGAACCTCAGGAGGATATTTGCACTGCTGTGCGCACTGCTGTGTAGGAGACGAGCCGCACGGTGTACTTCATCAATTGCCGGTAGCCCAGCTGCCCCTACAGCTAGAAGCACGTAAAGCTTCATGGCATACGAGTGTTGCACGTATTCTCAGGCAACATTCTTTTCCCTTCGGGGCAGCTCTCGCCCACGGCATTGAGGCCAAATGAAAAAGGAGATGGGAGGACGCCACCTAAGTGTCACAAAGGCAAATGCTGCGCAAGCTTCGTTTCCTGGCTGCAGCCTAAGATCCGAGATGAGCTGAAATCCTTCGACATTCCCAAAGTCAGAGGATGGAGTGCTGGGCGGTCCTAGTGGCGGAGAAGTCCTTTTCTACTGCTGGGCCCTTGTTTTCAACTGAGGAGTTTCTTATCGGTCAGCATGTTGAAGGCTCTCGGGCGGCTACGGTGGACATGTCCCATTTTGACCCCAAGAGGCCTTGCCACGCCACACGGAGCAAAGTTTCAAGTATGAGCGATGGCAGGTCCTGGGCTAGTGCGTGCAAAGAAGCTGCCGCTTTTGCACAGGAGCAGAAGCCCTGCGGCAAGTATTGGATTTGTGAAGGCTGTCCCAAAGAAAGAGGGTGTTCCCTTGGCGCTGTCAGGAGGTGTGTGGGAAAGAGGTCAGTCTGGTGCTCAGCTTGTCGTTCGCTGGCGGACTCTTCCTCAAACGCTTGTTCTGTCTTGTGTCCTAGCTTCGGGTAACACTCGCGCGGCCGAGCGAATAGTTGGGGTAGAAGCTCCTACCCGTGCTGTTGCTGGCAATTGTGATGAGGCAGTAAACCTGGCAATGGGGAAGATTGTAACTGCAACCAGTGCTGGGGCTCCCTCGAAACGTCTATGCGCTTCTGTGTTGTGGTTCTAGGGGGCCCCCGGTGTCAGCCGAAGCTTTGCACGGGCCAGATAATTTCTCAAAGCATGCGCACATTTTGAGGGTCATGCAATGACATATGGAAGCGTGGAGGAGTGCACATAGCGCAAACCAGCGTGTTTATGTTTCAACATGATTTGGCATCTGAGATGGCGGTTGGTGTAAGGTGAGGCTGGAATGCACCTGCCGACTACAGAATCCTTGCAAAACTCTGAATGAGTTTCTTTGTTGCTGTCACATTGCTGCTATGAGCGTACCACGGCAACTTATTCATCACCTGTGGAAGTGGCAGTTGTAAATTGATCCATCTGCATGTGCTAGCTGCTGGCCGCTGCTAGCGTATGCTTCATAGCTGCACCCTTGGTTGCACAGAGGGTTGCGCAACTACGAAAAGCGTGCAGAAGTTTCAAACATTGTGAGGGGTCTTTATCACTTCGATCAAACAAAAGAGCGTCAAGGATTGTTACCTACCGTGGGTGGAATGCATGCGAATGCATGGCTTGCTGGGCAGTCGGAGTCGTAGGGCACCTTGTGTCCTTTTCCCTGCTTTGCCTGAACGCTGTGTGACTCCGACTCTTGGCATCCTGTGAAGCATCCCCGCTTAACAGTTTCCAGTGGGGCACAGCAAGAACTGCTCAGGTCAGGCCGGATGGCTTGTAGCATGGTGTGCATCAACAAATGCAATACATCAGGAGTCTTCAGCTTTGAAAAGCAAATTGCCTAAGAATGCCCGCTCAGCTGCCAAGCCCCTCGCACCTTGGGCAATAGAAGTGACGGCAGTGATCAGTATACTGATTCTCAAAATTGTTGGTTCTGCTCCCGTGCATGCGGTCAACCAGCAGGGACCAAAGCACATAGAAAGATTGTTGAATTCTGCTTGGAGCTCCGGCCACAGGCTGCCCGGAGAAGACTGTACATACTTGACGACGTCAATCTGCTGGGCACTGCTGGGTCATTCACCACACTCCGCATCAAGCCACGGCTCGAGCTATTCATTTGCAACTTGCGTGTATCACGTTTATTGCGCTGCAAGCCTAGGTTGCACTGCAAGCCTGAAGACATCAACACATTTTCTTGCATCTGACCCCCCGACACCAGACTTCTCAATCGCGGATCAAACTGCACAGAAGTTTCATAAGTTGCGCACATTCGTTTTCTTTGCAGAACACACCGTTACAACGTTTGCTCAGGCAAGGCTTGGGCTTGGAATGCAAAGTGCTTTCAGAGCTGGTTCCGTTTGTTCCACTTTGGCACCTTTGGCAACGTTCGGTGTTGATTCAAATGATCTTTAACTTCCTCTTGTTTGGGGTCATGGGCATTGCCTTTCACACAAAGAAGCATTGCCTTAGCAAGTTTCTAATGTTCCAGTGTACGCATTCCTGGAGGGACGGCCAGGTTAACACGCGGCACCTTTGGAAAAAGAAGTCAGGCTCGTTGGATGTTGTGGCGATGGGCGCCTTCTCGCAACCAGAATTTCTGGGTATGCAAAGATACGTCTGGAAAGCGAGCCTTGAGAGTTAACGTTTGTCTACCAGTTTCGTTAGTATGGCAGTAGACAAGGTCGCCGCGCCTCCTGATTTTCTGAAAAATGTCTTGTCCCTTTCATAGCTTGCACCACATATCTTTTTACATGGTTCGTGTCCGGCGCCAGATTTCGCATCGTTGTGACAAACGCAGAGGTGCGTTTTCTCCAACTTCTGCCTGCGGACATGGATGACAAACATAGCGCAGCAGTTGCCCTTCAGCTCTAAAATGAAACATTGCGACTCTAGCATCTGTTTGCATGAAATGCCGTGCCAAACGGCAGTGGCAAGGTAGAGGCAGTTGTGATGGCGCGGCCTGTGACTCCCTTTTCAAGGTCGTAGCACCCTGTATCCACCTCCTTCTGCTAGGTTTGCGCAGATGTCAGACGCCCCTGATATGGTCCATGCATATTTCCTCCTTGCCCATCTGTTCGTTGCAACTAGATACTGCGCGCTCTGTGTCTGGAGCTGCAGGCAACTCGTTCATGAGTCTGTTCCCACCTGAACTCCCTGCCGAGGTGCAGTGTCTTAGTTGCGGGTTTGGGGTTCAAAGAGTGCTAATGACAGTGAGACTCTGCAGGCAAACATGTCATACTCATGCTGCGGAACGCCATGACTGCTGCCACAGGTGCCGTACTCCCAGGACCAGCGGCGCAAAGAATTGCCCAGTTCCACAGAACGTCCCACAGAACGTCCCACCGTGCCAGGACTGGCACGGCTTGGACCTCAGCGTTTTGGTGGAGGTTGCAGGCAGCGCAGCGGCTGCGGCATGGCAGCAAGCTGAGGCGAAACCGAAAGAAGCCCCCGGTTACCGGTTCATGGAACGTTTTGCATCTTCCCATCTCCTCGTCAGGATCGTGCGGCTCCTCTCCTTCAATTCCTTCAGGAGATGCTCCTCCACTTGATGCGGGGGTGGCCCACGGTTTTGAGGTGAAAAGCACGAAGCAAGAAGCCGCTCCTCGCCAGGCTGCGCTTCCGACTTCGCATCGTGGCCGTCCAACTCGTCCGGAACTATGCCGACGACGATGGAAGGCGGAGCATGGCGGAGCGGAGACAGCTCTTTGCTTTGCCATTTTTCCCCCTTTCTACTTTTTGGATTTAGTAGTTTAAGTGTTTCGTCCTTCTTGCAGCCGCACGCTGTGCGCGGCCTCGGTGGCCGCTGCCTTAAAGCAGCCTTCAAGGACAGCCTCTGCGTGCCCCCCTGCTTTCACCTGCACTGCAAGCTGTAAGGCCAGGAACGTCGCTACCCTGCTGCAACGCTGCCTTGCGCCCAAGTCAAAGGATTCACACACTGGCGCATGCCACACTCACCGCTCCAAAACAGGCGTGGCTCCTTGCGCCTCCGACTCTTTGGGGTGCCTGGCATCAAAGATCTTCACAGACCCATCTGCATTCTTTTGTTGAGATCGCCAAGGTGTGTGGAGAGGACTTCAGATTTCCCTGTACATCTTTGCAAGCAGAATTCTTCCGGGGTGCAAGCCATCACAATTTAACTGCTGAGTAACTATTGCCTAGCTATGCTAATCTGCCCAGACCCCCATGAGGCATGCTGAATCAACTGCTGACTGCCTGTTCAGGCTTGCTTGGGAGAATTCGCATGAGCAGAAAGCCCCTGCCTGTCTAACATGCATTGAGGGTCGAGGTTGGCTGAAACCTGCACAGAGTGGAAAGGGCGGAACTACCTTGAGTTATAGTAAAAGAGGGTAGTGTAAAGACAACCTTATGTTGCTGACATTAAAACGTCCTTAGGCTGCTAACTAGAAATCGACAAGAAACCAGCGCACAACAGCGGGCCACTATCACACTTGCGTTTCTGAGGTTGGTCGCACAGGTGGCGGAGCTCGTGCTGCGATGTGCTGCGGCGGTATGAGCCACAGTGTCTTTGGGTTCTGCGCGCCTGGCGTTTTAGTCTTAGGTTCTTCAGGATTTTCAGCTGAATGCGGGTAGCTTCTCGGTACTGAGGCGTTTGCGTGAGATGCAGGTCACAACAGTGTTTAGTCCCGGTACGAAATTGAAGTCAATCCTCTTTGGCTACGCTGGGGGCCTTCAGCACCACCGAAATAAGCAAGTGAGTAAGGCCGGTGTTGCAGTTTGCAGAGCACCTTCAGATGTCTTCTGGCATCAATCTCCCTAATGAAGCCTTGCACTGCACTTGCACAAGCTGCCAACATACCCCATGTATCATTTTTTTGGCAACACCGGAGCTCTAGGTCCCAAACCGCATGCAAAACTCGACAAAATCAGAATCACGCAGTCTCGCCTACGAGGCTTCTGACGTTTTGCGAATCTCAATGCACATGCTGTGAATTGTCGTGATTTATACAGCAACTTCTGTCAAGCTCAAAGGATCAGAAGCTTGCCACCAACTCCAACGACTGCTGACTGCTGCCTTGTGTGCAGATGGTCAAGGGGAGACGTGAACCGAGCACGAGATGCCTGAAGGGGTTGCTGCTGCACGTGCGAATGCTACTTTGCTTTAAGGTTTGCCCAGTTTGCCCATAATTTGTTTGTTATTCACTTGGCTGAGATACGGCGAGTGGAGGGTAATGTGGTCCATGGATGCTGGGCGTGGCTCTCAGTGGGTTCGACATGGGTTTGCGAGAGTCTGCCCCGCCGCGTGGTTATTGATAGACAGGACAACAATAGGTCGAATAATCTTGGCAGAGAAAAGCTTTCCGTCATGAGTCATCAGGACAGTCCTCTTTTATTGAGATCTCTGACAGCCATTAAGCTGCCAAGGTGACCAAGAATGATCTGGCAGAGCACCTTGAGGACTTCTGATCGCCAAGCCTCAGGAGGTTGTGGGTTCGTAGGCATTACACCTTGATAAGCCTTGATGAAACTTGGGATGATGAGCAGTTTATCCAAGCTAAGCAAATTCCTAGGGCTTGGGAATTCCAAGAAAAGTCGTACTTCCCCCCGGCATGGAGCCTTGAGGATTGCGAGTCTGAGCAGTCTACAGTGCCGCTTCCTGAGGCGGGCTTTTGCTTCCTTTATTTCTCGGTAAGATGCTGCAGCTTGGCTTCAGAAAAGTTTGCTTTCAAATCCAATGGCAAGGCTGCGGTGCTTGGTGCTTTTTCTCGAGCAGTGACTTCCTTGCTGGAGGTCCATGGCCCCAATCAGCTCCATTCTGCCAGTGCAAGAGCATTCTAAAGGTACGGAAACCAAAAAAGCCGTAATCCCATCCCAAAATAGACTTCGTTGCCTAAGTACAGCTGCTAGCAACTGCATCAGTTGCTAGTACCAGTGTACTGGTGGTAGTAGTTCTGGTAGTATTAGTTCTAGTAGTAGTAGTAGTAGTAGGAGGAGGAGTAGTAGTAGTAGTAGAAACCCCCCTCCCCCC